CCATTCGCCTATGCCAAATATCAAGTGACATCACACCACCAACCTTGAAAGCTTTCTCTTGAAGAATCCTCTGTAATAAAAGATCCCATCTATTCTTTCACCTAGTCCAATCAACATCCTCGAAGTGCGATTCTACATCACACAATAAGGTTTATCAAATTGCACTATACAATTTGTCTCATCCATTAATTGGGAGACAGATATCAAGTTGCAATTTAATTTAGGCACATATAACACATTGCTTATTTTCAACCATCCTTCAAGAATTATTGTCCCCTCTTTAGTTGCAAGGACCTTTTGTCCATATGGAAGTCCCACAGGGCACCTTGGTACACTCTTCAATTTTTGAAGTAATTTCAAGTTGCCTGTCATATGGTTGGAAGCCCCTATATCAATGATCCAAGTTTCTTTACCTGTCATTATTTTATTGGAATTTCCCTTTTGGATATTCAAAAGCTCCTCCAATGTTTGCCATTAGTCTTTGCTTAATCCTGTCAACCCTTCCCTGTCTACTTCTGCCACTGATTCGGGTGCTCTTTAAGTAGCTGCTACGACAGCATTTGCTCGTACACCCATGCCTCTGCCGCGTACAAAATTTGCACCACATCCTTGTTGTTGTCCTAGCCCCCTTTGCTTCGTGGCCTCTCACCCTACCAATATGGATATCCAACAATTTGAAAGAAACTCATGGTGCCATGTCCTGTCCGGTTGCAATTAGAGCAGACTATCCCCTTGTCTTTAGTGTCTCCACGAACTCTATTCGCTCATCTTTCATTCTAGCAATGCCTTTCACACGCTCTTCTTGTATCAATGTGGTATACACTCTATTCAATGGTGGTAACAGATTGGTTGCGAGAAGATTCGAGTGAACCGTTCCATACAACACATCGTCTAGACCTATTAGAAATTGATGTACCTTTTCTTCTTCCCTTCGTTTCTCCAACTTAGCCTTGATGTCACATTTGCACCCTTCACATGTGCATGTTGGTATTTGCTGGTAATTGCATAGCTCATCCCACAATATCTTGAGCTTCCCATAGTAGTTCACCATGGTCATCCATTCTTGTTTGCATTCAGCCAGTTCCGATTTCAGTTGTTGAATCCTCGACCCATTCACAATAGAGAATTGTTCTTTGATGTCATCCCACGGTTCCTTTGCATTTCCATATAGGAAATAGTAGATCGTAGAGAAAATTCGATGGTGTTTAAGATCCAAGATACCACCATAGATTGGACAGTCCATCAATCCTCGATTTCTGGTGATTCTGCATTTGGTTGCTTCACGTTGTCATCTACAAAATTCCATTTTCTTCACGCACGTAATGAGGTTCTCATAGCTTTTGCCCATTCTTCATAATTTTCACCCGCAGTTGAACTTGGGTGATTATGCTTCCTGGGTTGTCATTTGAATTCAGATCATATGGAGATGGCGTCTTCCTCACCACCTCATATTTTTCCACATATTTCTCTTTCTTAGAACCTAGCTCTGATGCCATGATAAATTATGAGATGAGATAATTATGTGTCTTTTACATTCATACTGCAAACCGTATATATATATATATATATATATATATATATATATATATATATATATATATATATATATATATATATATATATATATATATATATATATATATATATATATATATACACACACACACTACCTATTGGTATCAGAATCCCTAAACATATGCCTATAATCTCTCCCTTGACAGCTTGGTCAAAGGTACATCAAATCAACATTAGTTTGTTAGACAGTGATTCCATATATAAGGAAAGTATATAATACAATTTCCTAATAATAAAGACTATTTCTTAGTAATTCAATTTTTTATTTTATATATATATATATATATATATATATATATATATATATATATATATATATATATATATATATATATATATATATATATATATATATATATATATATATATATATATATATATATATATATATATATATATATATATATATATATAGTCTCCTTATTAACAAGAGTACTAAACTCTTGTATTACAATATCAATACAATAATAAAATTATACAACTCTAAGTATAAGTATTTCACTCTCTTAAAACTAAAGCAATGTATAGTGAAAAAAAGTTGATTTTAGAAGAAGAGTGAGTATAATAGGAGAGTGGTTTGTTCACAAAATTCATGCTTTATAAGTGAGCACAAGACTTTTTTTATAGTAAAAAATTGACTAAAAAAGGAACTGTATTTTATTCGAATATGTTATTTAATCGATTAGACAACCATTCTAATCAATTAGACAATCATCATGATTAATTAGACCTAGCACAAAAGGAAATATTTGCTAGATATGATCTCAAATCAGTTTGGAAACTTTCTTAATTGATAATTGAGCACTTTTTGCTCCATAATCGATTAAATATGATCCACAATCATTTATAGGCTAAATTCTTGTTGTGTAATTGATTAAGCAACATCATAATTAATTATACATTGGCCAAAAACATTTTTAATAATGTTTTGAAAAAGGATGAAGATTTACAAATCATTTTAAGTGACTGTGTGCATTGCCTTAGTAATTTAAGAGACACTCTTCCTTATTTACACACTAATGATTCAAATTAGATAAAATAGAAGATAAAGTACATGATCACATGTGAGCTTGCATAATCTTTAATTCTTTTAATCTTGTTCTTAGCAAATATTTCTCTCGTACTAACCATTAAAATCTTCTAGTTTTTATTTATTTAATTCAATCTTTTTCTTCCATGATGATGCTCATGATAGTTTTGTTTTATTACCTTTATCATTTTCAAAACTTATTATACCTTTTAAGCATATAGATCCACATTCTCCCTTTTGTTATTGATGATAAATTATATCTCAGTGAGGTGACTTAGAATAGAGGTTAAAAAGACAAAGGTTGAAGTATAATTCCTTTGAGAGTATATTTTTTCTCCTTTGACATTATCAAAAAGCGGTGAAACCAGGGACAGACCCAGAAACTTCTAGTAGTGGAGGCAATATAAATAGATGTTTTCTCTTTTTAAAAAATTAATTAAATATCATATTTGAATTGTGCATAATTTAAAATAAGAAAAATAATTGAGTTGGTTTTAATGATAAAGTTAATATAATTTATTAATCTTTTTTATTAATTATAATTAATGAAGTACTTAAGTAAAGTAAAACTCAATGATTAAAAATATCTTTAAAAAATATATACTGTATTGATATTTTAAAATATAAAAATATGATATTTCATATAAGACAAGAATTCATATATATTTTTATGATATTGATTGTTGAAGAAACTCTCAACAATTACACTCTTTGATAATATCAAATATGTAAAATTATTGTTTTAGTCCTTTAAGTTATTTTAAAATATTAAATTAGTCTTTTAAGTCTTTTTTGTAATGCTTTGGTCTCTTTTTAAAATTTTTGTTACAATAAATTGCAAACTCATATACCATTTGAATTAGTTTTTCGCGCTGATCACGAATATGCAATCAAGTTTATTAAACAAGTTACGGTTCATGAGAATCAGGTAAAAATGGACAAAATACATAATGAAAAATTAACGATCCGACCAAAATACAAAATCAAATGCAAAACTAATTACATACTCGTGATCAGCGCGAAAAGCAATTCAAATGGTATATGTGTTTGTAATTTGTTATAATAGAGATTTTTAAAAAAGGATCAAAACGTTATAAAAAAAAATACTTAATGACTAACTTGATATTTTAAAATAACTTATCTAAACAATAATTTTACCTATCAAATATATTTAATAGAAAATGAGAACATAAATATAACACATATGATACATTTTATTAATACAAACTTTATGAAAAGATTGATAATACTTTTTCTATTTTAAACTTTTTTAAGTTTTATTATAAAATGATATTTTATTATTATCATATAACTTAAATGAAACAAATGTTTAATTGATAAAAAAATGAACCAATGTTTGAAAAAGTGTAGAGGATGATAATGCCTGAAACTTCCGTGTTTTTAGTGGGCCGTGTATATAAATATATTTCATGGGGTACTATTTTTGAATATTAATCAAACTTGTTAAAATAAATAAGTAACATACTATTACATGTAATAGTTATGTAGTTATATTCAATGGTTCAAGAGATAATGGGGGCAACAATCCACATATAGTTGAGTTTGTCTTTTGGTGAAACATATAATCAGACGGAAGAGAAATAAAGCCCATGGCCATCATATTTCTAATGGTGTTTAGTGCAATGATGATACTATTTTAAGGGAAGAAGCACTTAATTTCTTTTAAAGGTTCTTTTTTTCCGCCCTACATCTTCTATACTCCCCACTAATATGGATGACTCAACTATGACTCTGATCCTTAGTGAAGAAGCCTAACACTCTTTGATTCAACATGTGATTAGGGAATGAGATATTTATGGGTTGAATCAAATGCACCATTTTAAGGATTTTGGCCCTGATGGATTCACAGGTTTTCTTTAAACAATTTTGGCATATAGTTGGAGATGATGTTGTCCAACTTACAACATATGCTTTTGTGACAAGTATCTTTCACTCCTCTCTTTTTTTATATTCTTATCGCATTAATTCTTAAGGTAGATTTTCCCCTAAATTTTAAGAAATTAAGGTCCATTAACTTGAGGAACACCATTTACAAGCTTACTATGAAAATTATGGTTAAAAAGTTGCGTCCTTATCTAAATTAGATATTTGGACCCTTCTAAATTAGTTTTTTCCTAGTAAAAGGACAAATGATAACATCGTTATCTTCCAAGAAGCAATTCATTCTATGCGAAAATCTAAAAATAAAAAAATGTTGAAATGGTGTTTAAAATAGATCTTGAAAAAGTTCATGATCATGTTATTTGGGATTTCTTGAAATTTTGACTGAAGCCAAATGGGTTTCTTGGAATTTGGGGAAACGACTACCAATTTTTTTATGACTAGAGGATTACGACAAGGTGACCCCGTTTCACCGTATCTCTTTGTTATTTGCATGGAATTCTTGTCACGGACAATCATTAGGGCAGTTGATGAAGGCCATTGGAAACCAAATAATGGACCCCATCTATCATATTTATTTTTTGCTGATGATGTTCTTTTTATGAAGGTTTCTAACTCTCAAGTAGTGATAATTTCTCATATTTTAAATTGTTTTGCCATGTTTTTCAACCTTAAAGTGAATGTTGCTAAATCAAAGGCGTTCTTCTCTGCTAGCACTAAGAGGATTAAAATAGATTTAGTTGTCTCCAACACATATATCAAGAAAATTCTTACTTTAGTGAAGTACTTGGGTTTCCCTATGTTACATGGTCATATTCAATGTAAGGACTTTGAGTTTCCAGAGGCAAAAATTGGTCAAAGGTTAACATCTTGGCAATGTAAATTATTAAATAAGATTGTTCGTTTGACTATGGTTAGGTATGTCTTGAACTCAATCCCAAATTATCATATGCAAGTGGCTTGGCTACCTCAACCAACTTGTGAATTTATTGATATGATGGCTAACAATGTTTTGTGGAAAGGTGATTCAAACGCTGATGTGTATCTTATTGGCTTGGATAAAATCACTAAGCCCAAAAAGTTAGGTGGTCTTGGGATCTAGAAAGCATGAGAGACCAATACTTCTATGTTGGGTAAGATGGGTTGTGGTTTCCACCAGGATTGTGATTTCTTATAGGTCCAAGTTTTAAAGCATAAGTACGTTAGTGAGGAAATGTTCCTTAATATGAAAAAGAAACCAGGATCAGTTACATAGAATGCAATTATGAAAGCTTTCTCTGCTCTTAAAGATGAATTTGAATTTAGGTTGGAGGATTGAAACTCCTCTTTTTGGTTTTCCAATTGGTCTGGGGTAAGGAACTAGCAGAGAAGATTCTCTATGCGAATATCCATGATTTGCAAATGCGAGTGAATGATGTTTACTTGGATGAGAATTGAAACTTCAAATTATTATATACTAATATTCCTCCGGTTGTTTGTGACCGACTGAAAGCGATTTCGATTTGTTTGAATTCTCTGGTACCAGATCAGTTAACTTGGAAAGGAAATTTATACGGTATCTATACTGTTCGTGATGGTTATAATTGGCTCAACATGCTTGAATTTGTTTAGAATACAATAGATAATAACTCTTGGAAATGAGTGTGACATATTTCTGCCCTTGAGAAAGTGAAATTCTTCCTTTGGATGACTTTACACAAGTCCCTTCTTACGAGATCAATATTGTCTCATTGTGGTATGCTCTAGATGAATCTCTGTCGTAGATGCAATCTGGATGTTGAGACGACTCTACACTGCTTGAGAGGATGTGAATTTACTACTCGCTTTTAGAAATCTATTGACTTCTTGGATTCATTATTTTTCAAAGAGAATAATTTATATGATTGGATTAAACATGACATCAATGTTGACTCTGTTTTTTTGGTTGCTTGTTGGTGGTTGTGGCACGCTAGGAACAAATTGTATCTAGCGAATGAAGTGATATATTCCTATACTTTAAAACTTATCACACTGAATTATGCTAATTTGTTAGCTAAATATTTTCTCAAGCATAATATGTTCTGTCCAATAAGAAGAATCACATAGAATGCACATAAAGGTAGTAATATAATTTGAATGTTGATGGCAATAGCCTCGATAATCCCGATGTCTTGGGTTTTGGTGGATTGATTCGAAATGCTAATAAATGTTTGAGTTTATGATTTTGCAGGTAATATTGGTTATTCTAACATCATTTTGTGGCGTTATATCATGGTTTGCACATGGTCTGGTAACTTAGCATCAAAGACCTGATGTGTTATTCTTACTCCAACTTTGTTATCAAGTTTATCTCAAAGTCTATTTAATGTTTGATATCACTATGCCACAATTATTCACAACATTAAAGAGTTTTCTCTCTAGGGAATAATGAGTTCAAATATTTTATACTTTTAAATATGAGAATGTTTGTGCTGACTATTTAGCAAAACACGAGGTTGATAATGACTATTTAGCAAAACACGAGGTTGATAATGACGCGACGTACCAATCTTTTGTATAACCTCTTGTTGAAATCATTACTCTTATGATAACTGATATTAGTGGGATTTTGTTTTGTATGTTTTTTTTTTTCTTTTCCATTTGTAGCAATTTAAAAAATATCATAAACTAATATTTTTATACAATATTTATTATAAATGGCAGAAAAAATAGTATTGTTGATTGTTAAAAAAAAAATAGTATTGTTGATTACAAATAATTAAAAAGGTTGATAATTTAATTTTTTTTAATAGAAAAACTACAAGAAAAGTATTCAAAGGATTTATGTTTATGGACAGATGTAGCATAGTTCTCAAATATTAGGGGATATTTCAATGAGCTCAAATCGAGGGTATTATCAATTACAGTTTTCCCCGAGTTGTTACGTATTTTTAGCCGACAAAAACCCACCATGGGTTTATCATGTAGCGTAAGCATTCAACAACGCTCGTTGCCTTGCTAAGCAGGAAAACTGTTTCGTTACACTGAATCCGATTCTCACCGTCTCAATCATCATCGATTTTCTTTTCTTCTTCTCGACTGTGTATCCTCACACCACCACGTGTCGTCGTTTCACCGCTCTCAAATGGAGCTTTTACTTCGATCATCTCGAGCCTTGCGTTCGCGCTTCCGTTCACTTCCTTCTTCCCAAACCCTAAATTCTCAATTCTCACACCGCCTACACTCTTCCCCCTCTCCAAGTACTTTTCTGTCTTCAATATTCGTTTTACCGAATTTCAGTTTTCTATTGTTTATTTTCATTATTGTTATTGATGTTTTTTTGGTGTAGAAGTAGAATCTGCATATGCACGATCCAGCTTCTCTGGTGTTTCGAATTCGAGAGTTTTGTGTGGAGAGTCGGGACGGATGCTTCCTGCTGTTTTGGCTGGTTTGTTTGGGATTGGAATGGTGGAAACTGCGTATGCGGATAAAGCTAATGAAGATGTGCACGAAATTGCTAAGAAAGAACGCCAGAGAATTCAGGACTTGCTTACTACTAGGGGAATTCGACAAGGTTCTTGTCCTCGCTTCAATGTAGCGGTTAAAGGCCAGAAGGTTATTGCTTTTTGTTATTATATGATTTGCTTAATTATCTTAGAATGCATAATTAATGGAAAATGGTAACTTGACATAAGGTACAAGTTAAGCACTCATTGTAAAAATATTAATAGTTGTTTTTTCAATATAAAATCCATGTAATAGAAAGTGTAGAGAGAGTAATCATTTTCTGTGAACTGATTTTCCATGAAAGTTAGTTAAAGAGAGAGAGAAAAATGCAAATAATTTGCCTGCTATAGCAGGTTTCTGTTACATGCTGACAGGTGTTGGTTACGCTTACTTGAACAGTTGTTATCAGTTAGGTATAATTGGAATTCCTAAAAGGATCTAGATAGCATATATCTAATGCCCCACAAATCTAGGGGATCTTGCAACTATGAGTTTGTGCTTGAGTTCAAGGAACTTGTAAGAAGATAAAGGGCTTGGTGAGTGCATCTGCCCACTGATTAGGGTAAGATATGTGCACCACTTGAAGTTGCTTGGCCAAGACTTCTCTTATAAAAAAAAGTCAATCTCCATGCGCTCGGTCCTTGAATGCCTGATGGGATTGTGAGCATAGAGAATTGCTGACTGATTGTCACATAGGATCATGGGGCTTCAAAAGGCACAAAATTTGAACCCATAGCGAGTCTGTTGTAGCCTGAGCTAGACTTCTATACTCTGCCTCTGTGCTATATTTAGCAACAACTGGTTGCTTCTTGGACCACCTAGATATAAGATTAGGATCAAAGTGTATAGCTGCTCCTTAGGTTCTTCTCCTGTCATCATGATCAAAAGCCCAATCATCATCATAGAAAACTCTGAGAGAAGGAGTTTTGTGGGTTGAGTTAGGAGAAAGATGCAAACCATTACCAAGAGTGCCTTTAAGGTATCCAAGAATTCTCTTGACAGCAACCAATGCGCCTAAGAGGATGTGACATAAATTGACACACCTTATTCACAGCGTAGGAGATCTAGGTCTAGTTATGGTGGCATTTTGCATGGCACCCACCCACAACAGAAATGTACATATAGGGATCAGGAAGAGCTGCTGAGCCATTCTTGGTAATTTTGCATGTGGACTACATAGGTGTGGAGACAGAACATGATTCAAGCATGTTGGTCTTTTGCAGCAAGTCTCTAATATACTTGGTTTGAGTTAAGAGCAATGAACCATGAGGGGTTTGTTTAACTTCAATAACTAGATGCTTGAGAAAGAAAGCCATGTTGAGCTTGGTGATGATGTTTTGAAGGAGTGAAGCTGAGCTCCCTGTAAGTATAATGTCATCTACATACACAAGTAGATAGACTATGTGACCATTGGAGAAATATGCGTCATTGTAAGGAAACCTTGACTCATTAAAGACACCTTTGAGATATATAGCCTTCCACTAGATGACAAGCACCTATAGCCTTTGTGTGAAGGTATGTGCTATAGAAAGAAACACTCTTGAGATATGATATCCAACTTATGAGCATTATAAGATCTCTATAGAGGAAAACACACACAACGAAAAACTTTTAGAAATTTAGTCAGGTTTTTTGTTTGAACAAAATAGAATAAGGAACCTGAAAATTGATTGAGGTAGATGGCAGTCTATTAATGAGATATGCAACAGTTAAAAAGGCATAATCCCAATAGGTGAGAGGTAGGGATGCATGACTAAGGAGAGTGAGACCAAGCTCAACTATATGCCTATCTTTTCTCTCAACAACCCCATTTTGATGATGGGTGTGAGGACAAATAAGCCTATGGATAATACCTAGCTCATTTGAAAACTTAGTAAAGGGCCTAAACTCAACCCCCCAATTAGTTTGAATGGCTTTGATAGAATGACCAAGTTAAATACAAGTTTGTTTGTCACTCTGAACTTTTAGTAGAGATGATATCAAATACTATTTTAAACAACCTAAATTATTTTCTTCATATATTACTCCCTTTAGAATACTAATGTAATATTTATTATTTGTCTTCTTTCCCTAACAACCTAAATAGATGTCTTCTTTCCTATTTTTATTTGTCTCAAATTATTTGTCCCTTTAGAATACTAATGTAATATTTATTATTTCTTTCCACTAATTTACCCTTATTTATTATATTTTAAAATAAATCATGTAACTGCTCCACTACCTATTATTTATAAGGTTATTTTAGTAAATGTCATTCGTTTTATCATTGAAATCAAAACAATTAATCATTATCTTAAAAAATGTGAAAATCTTAAAGAGAACACCTACTGTGAGACGGAGGGAGTAGTTTTTAATTTCATGGATGACATGATTCAGTTTCAACCTTTTTTCTTAAAAATCAGAAGACTTAATTTTCAATTACTGTCTGCTAGTTTGTTAATGTGATGTTATTTTACTGCAATAGTAGTCAAACTATTTCTGATGGGAGAGTTATAATTTTAGGTCAGTATAAAGTTTCAAGTTCCTCCTGGTTGTGAAATTTCACAACTTATTGCAAACCTTACTGCACATCTTGGACTGAAATCTGAAGGCCACGGCGGTGGTTCAGATATGATTTTGCGTGCATGGGACAGGTACTTGATTTTCAGTTTCTGTGACATTGGCAATACTGCACCTATTTATGGCTTATAATACCTTCATTACTTAAAATTATCAATGTTTCTTGTGGTCTATCCACAGCACAGTTGCTTGGCAACTTACCCTTACTCATCCATCAAAGCAAAAGCATATTCAACAGAATGAGCTGTCTTCAACAGATACAAATACACATGATAGAGATCTATGTATACTTATATTTCATTCTCTCATTGGCTCAGATAAAATTGTAAGCCTTCAGTTTCACATTTTTTCTTAATTTGATGTTCCAGTGTTATGCATCTTTGCATTAAACAAAGTGGTAATCATCCATTAAAAAGTTATATTCGGCCGTCATCGCAGGAAATTGAATTTATGAAGCAAGGGAACTTGAGTCCCGAAGAGCTTGATGCTTTCATATCTGTTTTACAATTAGCTGGTAACAAGTTGGTAGAAAGAAATCCCGTGGAAAGAAAGCCATGGGAAGAGACCGAACAGGCACCATCTGTAGATAAAGCTATTTCTAGTCTTGAGGCCATGGGAGTAAGAACATATGGACTCAATGAACCCATAGGTACATCAAACAACGAAGTTTCATGGGACAATATCGCCGGGTACGAGCATCAAAAACGGTATGTGAATCTATGTAAATTTGGAAAGCCTGTTTATTTTCTATTTGTCTCGGTGTTGTTTTGCATTTAGACAACATATGTTGTTAGATTTTCAGTTGTCATTTGATACCTGAGATACAAGTGGACCTGGTAGGAATTGGTTCTAAATACAAAAGAAAATAATGTTCATTGATAAAAAAACTACTACTAAATTTCAGGTATTTGAGAGACTGGTTCACTCTCACTTTGGTTTCCTTTCCAAAAGCAAAGTTTACCATCACCCGACTTACTTTCCTCTTTCTTATAGCCTATCATCACACACTATAATTATTGATCTTACCTTCTAACGAACATAGGGCGGTACCTGTCAATACCCCCTTTCAATATTCAAATTGTCCTCAACTTGAATAGATTGTAGTTGTTAAAAATAAAGTTCCATTGGGGTCTAACTGTCTCAAGTCTCCAACTCTACTAGCGTTGACTTGACATGCAACCATTGGCATCATGTAAGTTCTACTAGGATGAAAAAAAACTTCTTAGACATAGACCCCCTATGGCCATGTGGCCATCTCCCTGCAAAAATCTTCTTATTGTCAACACGACCAGCTTCAAGTTTCTACAGGGATTCCTCACAGCTAACAACCCACTTCGCACGCAATACTCTTTTGCCAACAAGGCGACAACTAACTGAAATTGTAAAATAATTCACAACCTGCAAGATAGCTACTTTTCCCTCTGTACTCAACCTCCTTAGTGAGTTGGGTTTGGACCATTTACCCCAGACATTTGTTTTCATCTCCCACATCCTATTCTTCATTTCTGTTGACACATATTTCCAGCTATGGGATTCACTTTACAATATGCGTAAAGTACTTTGGTTTACCTAATATTCAATTGAACATTTTATAGGGTAATAGAAGATACAATACTATTGGCTTTGCACAGTCCTGAAGTATATGATGATATTGCTCGTGGGACTCGGCATAAGTTTGAGTCTAACAGGCCTCGAGCTGTGCTGTTTGAAGGTCCACCAGGTTTGTCGCTATCGCTTTTTTTATATGTTTGATATACTATGATAATAGAACAACATTTAATTTTCATTCTTCTAATGTAATAATAGTGTTTGAGTGGCATATTTTATGGTTTCAGGTACAGGGAAAACCTCTTGTGCCCGTGTTATTGCTAATCAAGCGGTAAGCTTTATTGTTCACTGGTTCCTGAATATCCTTCCTTGCTCTTAACATAGGAGAAAAAAAATATAAAATAAATTAAAGCTGTCCTGGAAACCTTTTTTTGTAAAGGGACATGGGACATGTTGAAGTTGCATGTTACTACTTTGGTTGTTCAGTGGTCACTTATGAGGAAGTAGGACCTTTTATTTTTCACGGGGGAAACTGTTCATTCAATTTTAGTTTAGGGGGTTGTATTTTATCTGAGTTTTGTTCCATAGCGTTCCTAGTATGTCTTCTACTATATAATATAATTTATGTGGAATGAATCATGTATAGCGAACTCAAATTGTCGTTCAATTTGACTTGGCAGGGCGTCCCTTTGCTTTATGTTCCACTTGAGGTAGTAATGTCTGAATTCTATGGTAAAAGTGAACGCCTCCTAGGGAAAGTGTTCTCACTAGCAAACAGTCTTCCCAATGGCGCTATTATATTTTTGGATGAGGTAATCAAGTGATAAATGTTGTTGTGGAGTTGCTATGTGCATCTTATTGATTCCCCATTTTGATTTCCCTATGTGTTGTTTGTTTTTTTCTTGACTTACAGATTGATTCTTTTGCTGCTGCTCGTGATGGCGAAATGCATGAAGCTACGCGTAGATTATTGTCAGTATTATTACGGCAGGTTAATATTATTGCTTACTGCTTTATGATGCATAATGACATTTTCAATATCTTAAAAGTGGAAGTTGCTGAACTTGATTTCAACTTGTAAATTTTAGTATTATAAGCAATCATCCAGCTTATTTTGTATTGGTTTATGAAATAATTTGGTTTTTGATAGAGAGCTCAGTTCAGTAGTGTTGATTAATTTAGTAACCAACTACATCCAGTGTGAAGTCTTGATATTTGTTGTTTGGATTAATGTACAAGTACAATGATGTTGGTATGTTTCTTTTACTAGATCCAAGGAAGCCGTAGCTTTATTTTCGTAATACAGTGATTAGTTTGATAACTGGTAAGAAAAAGTTTACCAGTTTAGGGAATTTGACCGAAGATGGAACAAATTTTGCAGATAGATGGCTTTGAGCAGGATAAGAAAGTGGTTGTCATTGCTGCCACAAATAGAAAGGAAGACCTTGATCCTGCATTAATTAGGTAAGTTCAAGACAAATTTCTCTCTAGCTTCAAAGATTACAGAATTGTTCATGCAGGAACCAAGCATATTAACCTAGCTGTTTTTTCATCTTGTAGTCGGTTTGATACTATGATCGCTTTTGGTTTACCTGATCATCATAATCGTCAGGAAATAGCATCCAAATATGCAAAGCACCTGTCGAAAACCGAACTCGATGAACTTGCACGAGCTACAGAGGAGTAAGTCGACTAATTATTGATAGATGTGGGAAGATGTGTTCATCTTCTTAACTTTTACCAACCAATGCACATTCTTAATGTTGATATTGAATATTAGTAACCAGACCTTAGCCATTTTTTCTAAATAATGATGCGCTCAAGTTACAGTTATTTAAATTGTTTCGCACGATTTTTTCTCTTCTTGCTAATTGGTTGCTATTGTTTCAGCATGGCTGGAAGAGATATTAGAGATATTTGTCTGCAAGCGGAACGATCCTGGGCATCAAAGGTCAGAAGAATAAAAAATTGAATTTCCAGTTTGTTATATAGTATTCTGAGGTATCATTTAAATAATTAGCATTTGTTCATATTTGTTCATGGTTTGACAGATTATTCGGGGACAAGTATCTAAAGATGAAGAACAAGCAAACCTTCCACCTTTGCAAGAATACACAGCTTGTGCAACACATAGACGGGATTCGCTGCTTAGTGCTGCTGCAGATAGGAAGCCTCGACGATCATCCCGCAACAAGATAATAAATGAATAAGTGTATGTTATAAAACACTAAAACAAAATCACAGGGGACCAGAAGTTACACATTGGAGCTTTTAAAAAGCACAGTTAGAGAGCCCTAAACTGGTGGTGGTGGTGGTAACGAAGACGACGCTGGCTATCATCCAACCCAACATTCACCAAGACTTTGACCTCATTTGGCAGTGCCCAAAGACTTGATTATTATTTTCTTCACATCAATATATTAATTTATTTATATAATAATCTTCTAATTTAATTTTTTATTAGTTCATTTGGACTAACTTTCTTCTTTCTTAATTTTTTCTCTTGGTAAAGCGAGACTTTGGCAAATTTTAGCTGACTTTTTCTGGAAAGGAATAGTAACAAATTTTATTTATACCTTAATTAGGCCACGACTCTTATGTTTAGTTTTAGTTACGAAATAATATTTCATTTTGATTGACATATTTGTTTTTAAATATTTGTATTAAATCAAGAAACAAATAAAATTAATATGATATTTTTATCATGATTTTTTGTATAAGTGCAGTTTCTGTTTGGTTATTATTTATTTATTTATTTCTAATTATAAAAAGACCATTTTGTTTGTCTTTTTTAAGGCATTTATGTATTTTACTTATATGATTTGATAACGTTAGATTTATTAACATATTAAAAGATGTTGTCAAAATCATATTAACTATTAAGGTTGTTAAGAGATCACTTTTGCTGGGCAAATTACTTGTGTTTTTATCACACATGGACGATATATTTGTATTCTGCTATTTATTGTAAACTATGACATTAAATTAATGAACCAAGTCATGAGTCAAAATATGCAGTATACCAAACTAAATGGATAGGTTCAGTTGCTTAATGTGTTCTTATAGACCAAAATGTTGAGGAATTAACTTGAGACTGCTTTTCCAACCCTATAGAATTTAAATTTTTTTTTAAATTGCTCTTCAAAAATTTAGAAGTATACTTCCTTATGTATTTCATATATAAATTCTTTTTGCCATAAATTAATACGGAGATGTTTGTTTGTAAAATTTATATAAATATACTTGTGTAATCACCTATAAAATTTGATATTTTTAAAGAATTTTTGTATATAGTCCATTTATAATAAATGTATTATAATAATAATAATTTTATCATCAATTAAACCATACATTGATATATTAAAATTAAAATGACATATATTAGAATCAATCAAGAATCCATATTACTATCAAAATGACAAATTACAAACTATGATACTATCTTGAATCCATAATACAAATATTATTAAATGATATTGGTGTATCTAACCCTTTATTTCTTCTCTATGAATGTGTTCAGATAGAATGACATCTATAATTGCCTTATATGACAAAATGCATGTCTCATCAACGACATGATCTACCCTAACCTATTCCTAATATCTCCTGATGAGTTGACCTAGGTAAATACTCTGTGAGCATATGGTGTCATGTAAGCATGCGACACTCTGAAATACCATTAGATGTAGCCGAGTGCACTACTCCATGGTTGAGTAGCTGACACACTTCGTGCTTCCTATGGTACTAGATGATTATATAAATCATCATACAACGCGTCAACATCTTTGCGGATCATAGCGCGAGGATAGCTACACGATATCATGAAATCATTGCTACTCAAGCTACTGCAACCTTGCAATCTTCCTATCACGATTAATGTATTTTAAAGTATCATGATACTGCAAAAAAAGTACATCATTGTCAAAAAGTTCTAATATTATAACACGTGTTTCAAAGAATAAATACAAATAAATTTTACCTTTTCATCTCACACATGTCTAGCAATATGGTTTGCATACAGAGGCAATAATGAAGTGTCATTGGGGCCTCCTCAAAATTCCTAAAAAAAAAGACATAAGGAACGACAACATCGACAATAGGTGCATCAACCTGGACTGGTGGGACCTTTGGGGAAGCAGGAGCTAACGCTTGCCTCTAGGAAGACGAAATTGGAGACACTTGAACTCTAGAAATGGAAGCTTACAAATTAAATAAACTGATACCAACCAGTGGTCGCGAGGGTCGGGTCCTCTCCATACAAACAGATGCATGCTGGAACACTCTACCATGCCTCAATCGTTCTTAGTTGCTAACCATTTACCTATAATTAAACCAGACAAAGCATATAAAATCAAAACCAAATGAAAGACATCAAAATCAAACAATCCAGAAAAAATACGGAGGGACTCATCCTTCCCCTGTATGATCGCCTCGAGCATCGCCTCAGACTTTGGATGGTGACGGGAGGTAGTGAAGTGCCTCGAGAACTGCCTTCCCAGATCCTTCCATAAGGTGATGGACTCTTCAGCGAGGCTTTTGTACCATGTCATGGCCCCTTTTCTCAGGGTCGTGGGAAATATCTCGTACTTGATGGCGCCTCTGATGCCGCAGTAGTCGAGCAATGCATTAATGTTCTCGAGGTGCTCGTCGGAATCTGTCGTTCTATCATATGTTCCCAGGTTCAGGGGTTTCTCCAGCCCGACGGGAAGTGGAACGTCTATGATCGCTCGAGATAGTGGACCGCGGGGATCATCTTCGTCGCTCTTGAGCGGTGAGCGCGACGAGGAGTAGTCGTACTTTTCCCGCCGGGGACTATCATCACGTTGCAATAACGAGTTTTTTGGCCGACTTTTAAGTTTCCACGGGGGTGACCAACAATTGTCTGGTCATCCACCGACCTTGTTCTTCTTGGAAACCAGGGAGAGGCAGTCCTCACGGGGAGGAGTGCGATTGCGCTTTTGGGGCTGCGACCTCTCCAGCTGTGATCGACGGCCCTGTCATTGTGGCGACGGGCTGTGAGATTCGTACCGTTGGTGTCTCCGCGGGGGAGAGCGTGGACGGCGGTTTCTTTCCAACGCTCCGATCCTCTCATTCTGCTGATAGATCAGGGTGTTGGTCTGGTTGAGGGCCGCACCAGGGTTCCCATGGTCGGGACGACGTTGGCCAGCACCGGGATTGGTTGGAACGTGTAACGCCCGTTCATTTTAATTAAATTATTTACGAATTGTTGGTGGGTGTCCTTGAAGTATAGGAAACCATTTAATAAATCATTGAGTTTGATAATAATATAATATAAGTAATAATGATGATAATTTAATAACTAGTAGTAATATTATATTATTATTATTATTATTATTATTATTATTATTATTATTATTATTATTATTATTATTATTATTATTATTATTATTATTATTATTATTATTAGTAGTAGTAGTAGTAGTAGTAGTAGTAGTAGTAGTAGTAGTAGTAGTAGTAGTAGTAGTAGTAGTAGTAGTAGTAGTAGTAGTAGTAGTAGTAGTAGTAGTAGTAGTAGTAGTAGTAGTAGTAGTAGTAGTAGTAGTAGTAGTAGTAGTAGTAGTAGTAGTAGTAGTAGTAGTAGTAGTAGTAGGGAGAATAAAGGGAATTAGGGAGTTATTAGAGAAGTTGTGGGAGTTATTAGAGAAGTTGTGTAGGAATGAATGTGTTATATCGTCAGTATTGTACGATGCTGTATGGTTTCCCTTAATGAGACAAGATTAGTTGCCCCGTAGTTAACGAACCTTTTCAGGAACTATAACTAATTTAGTGAGTAAAAGTTGTAATGTCGTTCTTACGATAATGTGCTGAATTCTTAATTGTCGAAAGTATGTTGTTATTGTTCCCCTACATGAACAGATTGAAATGATGAATACTTGATGCATATGAAGTTATTATGTCACTGTTGAGAAAATGTTATTATAATATTCTCCTTGAATTATGTGGATAAGTTGTAGTTATATTACCCGTATGAAGGTATATGAAATTGTGTTGAGTTCTTATTTGTAGTAATGATGTTGTCAGTTGTTCTCTGACATGAAAATGCTGTTGAGTTCTCAATTATAGAGACGAGGTTGTTTTTAATTGTTCTCTGCGAAAATGTGTTAGAGTCTTATTCGTAGGAACGATACTGTTGGTAGTTCTCTGATATGAACAGGTTGAAATGGTGAGTCCATAATATATGCGAAATGTGATGTTCTGTTATGGATAATTGGTTGTAGGCTTGATACCTTGTTGCACGGTTGTTGCACAGTTGTTGTTGTTGGGTTATAGTCCATAATAGTTGCATCTCATAGCATATCATTTGGCCTGGATTGGCGACAGTTGTGTCTTTAATGACAAAATAAAATTATTGTGGAGTGTTGTCTCCCGAATTATTGTGGAGAGTTGTCTCCCGAATTATTGTGGAGTGTTATCTCCTGAATTATTGTGGAGTGTTGTCTCCCGAATTATTGTGGAGTGTTGTCTCTCGAATTATTGTGGAGAGTTGTCTCCCGAATGGTTATGGAGAGTTGTCTCCCGAATGGTACCACATGCATATGCACAGTTGAGTTGCATTGTTGAGTCGCATTGTTGAGTTGCGTTGTTGAGTTATTTTGATGAGTCGCTGAGATATGATGATAATTATTGTGGTTATGAATAAAGAGTTGTTGTAGTTTATTATTACTAATATTTATGCGAACTGCTGGAATTATAATACTGTGATAATATTCTGACATGACTTTTATCATGCCTTATATTATATTGTTGATATCTCACCCTTTACGTTGTATGTTACCTCCGTTGGTGGTAATTTGCAGGTAATCCGGAATAAAGTGTAGCTTTTCGTTTAAGATTGTTGGTCGCTCTAATACGTAGCACTCTTGGGGGGATGAACGATTAATGTTATTGTTTTAATTGAATTCCTTGTTGCCGAATTTTATTAAGTACTATGGCAAATGGATTGGTTGTTTATGATAATGCCAAATGTTGCTTGGATGCATAGTTGTTTTAGTGAGTTGATGCAAGATAATTACTTGCTGAATTTTAATGGAATTTAATTATTACGAATCGTTGGAAGTGTATTATAACCTGTCGTTTTATGATTAAGATGTTAAACAAATTATCGTTGTTTGTTCATCCGAATTGTGTGCTACGTATGTTAGTAAATAATTTGTTGCAGGTGTATGTGTTTTGGTTAAGTGTTGAAATG